CGAACTCCCATGCAGTATGGTAGGCTTCCTGATACGTGGCCGGGGGGTTTTCGGCAGAATTCCTTGTATAGTTCCCCGGCACGTAAGCCGTTCAGGAGGAGGGACAACACCGTCTTGTCGTCCATCTCCTCAACCTTGTCTACCTCCTCCTTCCACCGGGTAAGGAACTGAGTGAGGTTCTCAGATTCCCTCTGCCCGGCTGTACTAAGATAGGTGAATTTCTTCCTCTTAGTACAGTTTTCCTGGAACTTGGCCTTAAATTTTGAGGCCAAGTCACTGAATGAATCAATACTTCCCGGGCGAAGTTTGTTGAACCATTCAGTAGCTCGATTCCGCAGGGTTTGGAAGAAAAGGAGGCACTTTTCTTCATCCGTACAACCATTCATAGTTGCACTTTGGTTGAAAGAATCCAGATGTATTTCTGGATCCTCCTTGCCGGTAAACCTTGGGGCGTCTATCTTGACCTTTCGTGGGAAAGGTGTCAGATGGACCCTTGTAGTGAACGGGGACCCTGCAAGGGGTTTGTCCCGGTCATTCTTCTCTCCAACCTTCTTCTCCCGCCTCTCCAGCTTTGCCTCCATCTGCTGGACGCGATCATTGGGGGTGGTTAACCGGTTAGCCACCGGTACCCTGGGTTGGATTTCTGCCTCTTCCTCCTGACGAGAGGCCCTCGTCCTGGCTGGCTCCTGCCGGTTTGACCGGGAGTGTTGGGTGCGGGCAGGCTCGGCCTCCCTCATCTTGCCTAACCGGGCAAACGCGCTGACATGGGCAACGCTTTGCCCCAGCCTTAGCTTGGCTGATTTTCTCTGGCCCTCCTCCCTATCCCCCAGCCTTTCGAAGGCGGAGTTTCGGGAGGTGGCGGGTCGGATGGTTTTTCCCTTCTTCTTCTTGTGGGTCCTTGGAATGTCCCACTCATTGTCTCCGCTCTCCACTGAGACGCAGTGACCATCGGGGGTGATTAGTGGATTCGTACCTTGCGGGGGACGCGACGGCCCTGCGGCGTTGAGCGCACCAATCAAGTTGACAGGTGCCATGGTGCTGACCAGCTGCGGCTGGAAAGGTGATGGTTGCGGCACCGGCGTCTGGAATGGCGTCACTGCCATCGGAGCTTGAAGGGGCATCGTTCCAGCACCTGGAAGGGCGAATGGAAACATCCCTGGGAGGAAAGGCATTCCCCCATTCTGTTGGCACATGGCCATGACCTGGCCAAAGCCCTGGATGGCTTGTAAGTTGGCTGGGTCATTCATGAACTGAGTCATGCTTGGTGGAAAGGTGACCCTTGGCCCAGCGGAAGGGACGGGGGCCGTGAATGGGCTGACCATGCTGGGTGTTGGAACCGAGCCCAGTCCCAATGGCAAAACCGGAGCTGAAACGGTGGGCAGGGTAACAGCCATGGGGATGCTGGCACCTTCAGTGGTGGCTTGCACCTGAGCAGAGGTGGCGTTGATTTGCTGGCTGGAAGACATTTTGAGTGGTGTTTTTGCGGGTAGGTTTGTATTTAGAAGAGAAGAAACCTTAACGGTCCCACGGTTGGCGCCAAAAATGATGGTGTAAATTACTTGACCGGTCAAACTATACTAGACCGGGTCTAGAATAGTCGGCTTGATTCAGTAAAGTAAAGAAAGTAAACACTCAGAATGACCGGTAAGACTGTAGGTGGAAACACCTATAGCCTTTTTATATTAATAAAGAGAATGCACGGGTGTTTTTACAGGGGAGTTTAGAGAGAAGGAATTCGGATCCCTCTTTCTGAGGTTTACATGAGTATTTATACTAGGTTTGGGGGGACAGGACCACGTGCGCCCACGTGGGTGCACGCTGCTGATGCGGTGCGAGGTGACTGCCCCTGAGCTGCCTTGTCATCTTGCGAGGGGAATTACTTCCCTTGTCGCGTTCTGGCTTGGAAACATTCCTTCAGCATCTCCAGTTGTTCTTCGCTGACATGGGTCGCTACACGCCAAGCCCTCTCAGATTCTCTTCTGCCGACACTTTCCAACCCTAGAAACTACACCGGGTAGTCTCCGAGGGATGAGATCATCAAGGTTAGGAAAAATAGGGTGACAAAGTAGTTTGACCAGTATACCTTTTCGTGAAGTATACCGGTCATCTTTGGGCCGATTACATATCAATTTGCTGACGATTTAAGTTTCCCTCCCAAAACTTTCGAGATTGACCGGTCAACTAACTGGTTTTCTCCTTTGACCGGTCATGGGTGGAATACACCCATCAAAAACGTAGAAATAAACAAAAATTCCTGCGACTGCTGAAAAAGCAAATGTTGTAAATATTTTGGGACGGAGGAAGTATTTATTTGAGTGAAGAGTGTAATTTAGAATGTTAATGCCAAAAATTGAAGTGTAAATATCATTCTCTTTGGTTACCTAGTTTGCGTAAATAAAAAAAATGTACTTCAAGATACTCAATAATTTATCTCTAACAAAAATGTGATATGTTTCTATGTCATAAATGTAATTTGTTGAATTGTGTCTATGTAAAGAGTAAAATATTGAAAAAAAATTAATGCACATAGTGGATTTAACATACTTTCACATTTGATCATTCCATCTATGTCAATAATTAATTATCACTAATGCTATGAAAATAATTATCACTAGTGTTAGCAAGTAGTTAACCATTGATGGATACACATATGTCACCATTAACCATCCCTCTTGTTTGGAACCTTAAGGACAACCAATGTTGGGAGTGGATCAAATGTCACCTTTAATGTCTCAATTCCTTAAATCACTCTCAAATGTCTCACTATCTATTGATAAATTAGATTAGAGGTTGATTTATTTCACTCTGATAACAATATTGTTGGATTTGAGAAAATCATAGAATTGTGTTCATCATTTCGTTTTCCAAAAAAAGTCCCATAGACTTAGAAACAATTTTCTATTTTAAACACATGAGTTCATAAACACACTGTGATTCGGGAGATCGTCATCTTCGACAAAAAGGGTTGGACATCCTTAATATTAAAATAGCGTTTCTTATAATTCATATTTTTAAAATTAGAATATGAGCAATTGTTCCATAGTAGAGATGAACATGGGTTAGAAATATTTGTCAAATTAAACTTGACCGTTCGACCATTTTTAAGTGAACTTGGACAAAAATAGGTCCCAAAGTTCAGACCAAATCTCATTTGAAAAAGGGGTCGAGCTTTAAACATTGTGTAATTAGTAATTTTATATCTTTTCTCTTCGTCCCAAAATAAATTTCATATTTTTCTTATTCACACATCTCAAAACACATTTTATATGAAGTACTACTTTTCTTATTTCTACTTAAGGAAAGTAATTTGTGTCTTTTTTCTACTTTAGGGAAGAGCACCTAACTAGACCTTAAACATGACTTATATAGTAATAAAATATGAATTTTAATGATTTTTTAACCAAAATATGATTTATAATGCCAAAAACACTACTCCATATAAAATGTAATGTATACAAAATTATTAAACTTATATACAGTCCCAACACTCTTATTAATAAAATAAAAAGATAAATGGACTAATTCTGATATAAATTTTATATGTTAGTCTTATTTAATTACAAAATTTTTTTACTCCATTACTCCTTTTATAAAGTCTTTCTTCTTTTTTGTGTCTTATTCCTAAATCATTTTTCCTTTTGAGTAAAAACTAATTTTACCCATATTAATTTTTATTCTAACTATCACATCATATCATATATTTTTACTAATAATCTACTTATCACATTAAAAATATATTAAAAAAAAGTCAATACTCCGTATGAAAATTCTCCTTCCTTAAATCACATAAAAACCAGAAGGTTATTTGTCTCATGCTCTCTTCAACTTATTTTTATTATTTATTACTTTTTAATTGAAGTCAGATGTGGTTAGATCAGATCAAAAACATTTATAAATATAACTATATAAATATAACTATATTTAAGGATAGATGGAGTAATGAATTAGAAATTTGAATAAACACAGGAAATGAGTTGCCGTATAATGAATGGACTCCCACCACCACCACCTGAGTCGCCTGACCATATCCACTCCTCAGCGGCGGAATTGCACCTTCTTCTCATCCCTTCCCTTCCGCCCGAAACTCTTCTTCCGTCGCCCTCTTCGTCCATTCTCCGCCAGACTATTTTCTCTGTTCAGGTAATGCCCCCACCCATATCCATCTCTTTTAGCTCTTCTCCAGGATTCGATTTTACTTCCGATTTCTGATTGTTGTCAAATGTGAGTTTTGTTTCTTCCATTTTGCCCTAATTGAAGGTCTTCATTATCTAGAATGAGGAATTGTATTGATCAAGGAATTATGAAGAGTACAAATGTACAATAGAGTAGGAAGTACTACTATATTGTTAGGAGTCAGGCACAATAGACTTAGGAAATGACCAAGTAATAGAACTCTCCCTAATTATCCCAACTCACCTCTTCCTATTTCAGCCCTGTGCATAAAATTTTAAATCTCATCGCATGTAAATTTGTACTTTGTTAGTATTCAATTTTAGTCTTCTTCTAGGTTTTGAGATCATTGATAGTCCAATGCATTTGTCTGATTTTGTACCTTTTTGTTATGTAGTTAACACATGTAGGTTTGATCCAAAACCCACTACAAATGAAACCCAAACTCTTTTCTCTCATTACGCATCAAACCCACTACCCCAAAAGTATCTTCCAAAACCCATGTTCTGGTACATACGATATTCCTTTAATTTTTTTTTAGTTGAATTTTAAGGCATCATTTGATTTTTAGAAATCACCCTAAATAAAACTAAAACATAGAAAAAGTATCAAAATAAGACTTCTATATTTTTATTTCCGAAATAGGAGTTTGCATTGTGGAAATTTGGAGTTAATGTGGCACTGTACACGTGCACATTAGTATACTTTTTGGTAATGTACATGACCAGGTGTGTAATGTAAATGCATTTTAACTCCTATTTTGAGAATAAAAACATGGGAGTCTTATTTTGGTATATTTTCAATGTTTTACTCCTACTTTAGTCTTTTTCCCTTTGATTTTCAGTTCTAAGTTTACATGTTTTTTTTTTATAAAAAATCAGTTCTCGTATTAAGTAGTTCAAATTGAGCCAGATTCAATATTGGATGTTTTGTGTTTAGACTTTAGGGCACACATTTGATTTTAAATTTTGAACTTATATGTTTCTTTTTGGAAGTTTGATTTTCCAATTTAGTGAACTTAGGTGGCAATTCGAATCAAATGCATTTGAGGCATCTCTTTCACTCCTTGGAAACAATCCCTGCATAGGCTTGGCTCCCGCTTAGTATCGTCTTATGATTATAAGCCTTCGAGGTTGCTTTTTTACTTGCTCAAAGGGACATGCAATTGATTTGAGCATGAGAAACAAATTGAAAAAGAAAAGTTTTCGAATTTTTGTGGTAGTGTTTGACACTTTGACTTGAATACTTTGGATTCTTCGACAACCATCTTTCACATACAAACACATTGTGTTGGGGTTAACATCGCTGCTATTGAAATTGTCTAAATCTTTCATTACAATCATACAACTCTAAGTTGATTATGCCCTTTTGACTACCACTATAAAAAGCCTTTATCCTACCTATTTCCAGGATTTTTAACATAAGTATGGGGAATTACAGATTTGACTACAAAAACAAGAGTGAACCTCACTTAGCTAGTGCAGATTGACCGAGTATAATTTAACAAAGTGTTTTGTCTCAATCAAGCTAAACCACTTTAGCTTGATGATATTTGAAATAAATCCTTTTTTTGGGGGTCCATTCAAGGAGAACAGAGTTATTTTATGTGCTACCTTCATTTGGTTTTGGTTTGCTTTGAGGTTTTCTACCTTTCTTCATTCTCATATATAGATATTTGTTTATGGCTTTTTGTTCATTCTTCATTTTTTTTGGTTTTAGAACATTTATAATTTTTTTAATTTGAAATATTTCTTTTTAAATATTTATGTTTCTTCTCACCTTTTTTAGCTATATAGATTTGTTTTAAAAATTAGTTTTAGACCATTTTCATCTTTCTTCAGTTTGTTTGGTTTCAATGCACTCTTAGTTGTCTTAGACTCTTAGTATGCATATCTAAAGGAACAAATGAATGAGAATGGTAGAAAGTCGCACTTGAATTTTTTATCCCTAATTAAGAACACATTTATTATCCCACGGTTTTTCCTTAATTATGAAAGTAGTCAAAAATTCTTTTGCCTTTTTTGGAGTATAATGGGATACTTTGTTTTTCTGATTATTTATTTATTTATTTAAATTTTTGGATTTCTTGTTTGGTACTCCTTAATTTAGAATTGAGTCACATTTAAATTTCATTTCTTACTTCTCGTTTTGTTAAGGAGAAGTGAGTTGTTTTGTTTGCTATCTTGCTCTGGTTTAGTTTACTTTATGTTCTCTCCATTTTCATCTTTCTTTAGTTCACTTGGTATTTAGGGATCTTTCTTCAGTTTAATTTGTATACATCTCACTTTCACAACGTTTGTTAAAAAATAAGGGTTTTTTTTCTTGTTCCAGTGGGATGTTCTGCATTGTAGCACAATTGCTGTACAAGGAAAACCAATTCATATAGTTCAAAAAACTAATCTTTAACTTATCTCTTATTAATATCTTCTAATTTTTATAATAAAAAACTATATATACATAGACCATTCAGTTTACAAACAACT